ACAATCAAGCTGAGTTTGAGATTCTTAATATTTGAAACACAGATCTTATTAACGATATAAATTACTATTATGTTATAAAAATGTTATATTCCTATTATATTCTTATTATTTTGCATATAAAACTAGTATTTTTGTGTTCAGTAATGGCAGATCTTTTAGAACCGCTATGTTGATTTCCGTGAGGGAACTGAAGAAGGTGTCAGACGAAAGTTTTTACGTTGTGCGGAATGGAAAGTTGTTAACTGAATGGAGTGCTCTGAAAGATGAAGAACTGGTGGAAGTTAGGTTTCGTCTCTGCGGTGGCAAAGGGGGTAAGTCCTTCAGCATTATTACTTGTAGCTATATTATTGATGAATAATTATATGCATATATAATATGCGTAAGCTCAGAGCTGTGGAAAGCGTTGATATTTTGACACGGGTTTCGTTTCGTATTCAAGCCATAAAAATGCTCCATTTTTGGAGTGTGACCCAAGCGGTGAGAAGGTTTGCGTATTTCATTGATGCTCAGTGCATTACTGGCTGGAGCACTGGAAGTTGCTTATGGCAAGGTGTCCCATACGTGAGTTGTTGACGGGTAAAGATCAGACGGAAAGCATGTCACCCTTTCTGTATGATTATTGTTACCATCCTTTCATTACAGATTATCATAGCATACCTTCTTTCGCATGGGCTAACAAGAAAACATGTGTCAGGAAGTTTCGTTTGTAAAGCAGCGTCGAAAAGTACCGTGGCAACCAACCATGCCTTTTAACCCTGTCAGCAGACTGTGTTAATTATTTAAAGCAATTATTTGAGGAAGCGCAAAGCACGAGATTTGCCTTGAGAGTCTTACGTAGACGATAAAAAAAATACGTAGGAAAGACAGATGGTCATGTTTTTCTCGGGATGCAGTTAAGAATTTATGCTCCTTTCTCTCGTTACGTCGACGTGTATAATTCGGTAGTGATTTTTGTATAGACAGCTGTTTCTCAGGAATAAAGATGCATGTCATTTCTTGGCTGCCATGTTCTTGTTCGCTGATTTTTTCATAGTTTTGGAAGGCATCCATTTACTGATTATTCTCTACAGTACTTTCGTTTACATTGACCTTTTTTCATTCAATCCATGAAGTTGACACTGAGGCTAAACTGGTCATCGTATCATGTTTGTAAGAACATGGCAGTGCCATAATGCCCTTGCATTTATGCCAGCACTATTAGAGTCTATTTTCTAATGTTGTTGGTAAAAGATAAGCGACACTGGCTCCTAAATCATCGTTGTTCGTAATCGAGATATCGATGGATTGATAGACAATGAAAATAAACAGAATAAACAGAGCAGTAAAATAAATAAATGTACACGATAAAGAATAAAATGTAGTGAAGCTATTTCTTGCTGAAAGTCCTTATTAGTTCTCTGGTGACAAGGGGCGGTGTTATACAGTCGTTTAAATCCTTAGAATGTAATATGTTAATTTATCAGGGAGATGGCAAATAACAGAAAGCTGCATATGAGGAGCAAATGCTCGCTTATGGTGTTGTAACTGTTGAACCATCGCTATCGGTTGCACCTTTCATATAAAAGAATTTTTCTGTCCCTCCTTTCACACCTACATAAAATGTGCGTTTTAGGCGGTAGTTCTGTTAAACGGTGTTTCATTTTCATAACAATCTGTCGTAATTATTGTGGAGATACTGTAAGGTAGGATTTGCTTTATTTCACCATTACATTTAGCTTTATACTTTGATCGTTGGCACTTTCGGTATTCACTTAAACAGAGTTGCATACTGCATATTAAGGAATAATTAGTAAATTAGAATCAGCCGTTCTGTACTTATTTTGGTTGGTGAAAGTTGGCATTTGTTTCTCTCGTTTTGCTTCGGTTCTATATTTTGAAGCTCATTTTAAATTTCGTGGGTTTTAACGTTAATATTGGTGAATTTATTGTTATGTGAATGTTTTTACTGTTGTTGACGATCGAATTCAGGATTCGGTTCGTTGCTACGTTCGTTCGGATCGCAGTTTTACAAATCTACCAACCAGGACATGTGTCGAGATTTGACCGGGCGACGACTGAGGGATATCAAAGAAGAAAAACGTCTTCAGAACTACATCGAAAAAGCACACGTGCGAAAGCAAGAAAAGCAGAACAAGCTCGAAAGCAAGTATCGAAAGTTGCTTGATCCTCCAAAGCCGGATTTCGACGATGCCGAGTACGCTCAAAAGAAGCAGAAGATCATGGACGAAACGGAACACGCACTGGAAGAAGGTTTGTAATAACAACCGACATAAGTGCTGCAGAATCTGTAGGGATCAAAAGTGTCTTGTATATAAATCATTCGATACAGAGCGTGAACCCATTTGGTTGTAAAATGAAGATTTGCCTTTGAGGGAACAAGCATTAGTCTGCCGTCATGACATGAATTTTATTTGGCTTTTTTTCACAAGCTGAAATTAGTGCACGAACGCACTTTTTTCGGTTCAATTCAGGGACACGATGTTGCATGCATCGATCAAAAGCTGAAATATTATTGATCGGTGACTCTCATTAATGGCCCCTTATTGATATAGAAACAACAGGACGGTGCGGCGTTATCAAATAACCCGGCGTATTCACTTGTTTGAGTCTTTTTAATGTCTTTTTTGGTGAAGACCGACCGATATTAACCCTTTTGCGAAATAGGATATTACAATGAAGTAATTATGGTTTATCACTAAAGTCAGGTTTTATTAATAGTATGAAGGAAAGAAAGTTTGTAACCGTTGCGGTGGCTCTCTTTGGTACACATTTACGATGGAGTCATTTCTGGTTTCCTTTTCATGAATATTGCTGGGTTCTGGTTTTCATTTCCATGCCATCGGTCAGGAATGACTCATTTTAAAAATAGAGTCTACAGCAACACTAGTGCGTAGTCTCCTGTTACTTTTCCACAGAGTAGTTCCTTGGAAGGAAGAAAGGGGAATCACCTGGCTTTGCTGGAAGCCAGGGGCTTTTCATTTTTGATTCTGACGTTCTGTCAACTGAGCACTTTTCCTTTTTACTGTAATTATGATAACGGGGTATTAGCTTACATACATTTTCTTTGATGTGCAAATGGCAAAATTCGAAAAACAACAGGTGAAGAAAGTATTTTCCATTATGTACAATTGCGACAGCGTGATTGAACACTGGCTATGTGAGTTCGTGCAGTAAAAATGAAATCATAATATAAAACTCTTCGAAATTTAGCAGTTTGACGGAAGTTTCTTACTGTGCCGATGGGGAACATTTAGGTCAGTTTCTTAGTTTTGATGACCGCTTATCATTTTTGTTCCCGGAGAGCTTTTTATAGATATTTATTATGAGGCAGATGAATGAAACCGTTGTTGCATGTGGCCATCGTTCAATCATATAGATTCAAACTCAAGGCAGCAGAACTGCCGTTGATGACGACTTCGATCGGCCCCAAAACGGCCCTCGCCCAAATATTCCATTACGTAAAAATTAATCTCCGCGTTATGGGGTTACTGTAGACTTGCCAGTTTTCTGTAACATTGATAAGATTATCAGACTCTTATCATTTATAATCTTTTGGCAATATTATGACTGAGTATCCCAGGACTTCACCGTCTAGTCTGCTGAAAAGATGTTATTTTCTTTTAAATTCTTGATTTTCTCATTCACCTCTACTCCAAATTTTCTGCTAAGCAGCTAAAGCATAATCATACGTTATTTTTTTAAAGTTATTCATTTTTTGTGAATTAACGTTTTTTTCTGAATTTCATTTACTTTAAAAAATTTATGTTTAGGTCTTAGACGCCTGAAAGATCGCTCTTCAGAACCCGGATGTTCCGCAACTGTCCTACCATTGGATAGGAAGCGAAAGAACAGAGAAAATTCGACAGAAGAGCCCGATCTTAAAAGGGGCACACTGTGGTATAAAAATGACGACTTTTCATAAACGTTTTAAACTAAGCATCTCGCACTACTTTTCTACGTCCTGTTTAGTATTATACATTTACAACGTCGGTCAGTTCTGCCATTAGGACTGAAAGACTGGTTGCAAATAATATGTACTTGATTGTAAATATGTACTGAGTTATTTAAAGCGAATTTGACGATTTTTTGAACATACGATAATCGTGCAAAGGAATATTCTTGGCGAATACTTGTTCTTTAAAAATGCCCTTAATTTCGTGTTCACTTTTTGAAGTTATGCTGGGCTTTGTTAGATTGGTTTTCGTTGAATATTTAAGTCTTATTTTTCAGGCTTGGAATCGAGGGTATTAACGACAGTAGTGACTCAGACGAAGGAGAAAGCTCAGATTCTGAATGTTTGCATACCGAAAATCCGGGTTGAATTTGGACCAGTTTGTGATGCCATTTCATTTTGTGCGGTACAGCAAAATTTACGTTGCGTAACAGCTATACATTTGCATGTAAAATGTGAGTTTTATGGAATAGATCGTTTATCATCGACAGCATTATTTGCTGAAAGATGATTCTTACATCAGACTTTTTGTGTCAAGGCAACCTCGAAGTCAATTTGGTGGCGAGTAAGCGGTAACAAAAAGTAATCGATCGAACTGGAATATGGCAATGGCAAACTCCTTTCATCGCGTTGTGACATTCTGGCGACTTCCCACGAGTTTCAGGTCCATTCCTGCGCTGAATTAAATGACTTACGTTCAACCAGTTTGTGTGATAAAGACAGCCTCATTTTCTTAATCCAGACATCTATTTAAGTTATCTGTGACAGCAAGAAAATAAGTCATTGCTTACGTTACTTGTTGAAGAACTCCGCAAGGATGAAGGGATAGTGACCGAATGGAATATTCCAATTCCCAACTACACTTTCGACTAATCCGGTAGATATACCAATCAATTTTCTCAACCTTAACCGTACTCTTAGAAAGGACCTCTTGCGCAACTGTAAAATTGCAGTTTGACTGGTATTTTCAATTACCCATATGCTACGTGATACAATTCATAGAAGATCTCTGTGCTGTTCGGATTTGAAAGATTCTTCTAGATGAACAAGATTTTCAGAAGTTGGCATACGAGTTACGTAAATGACTCTTGGCAGACTTCATTGCCATTTTTAACGTATGCTGCATAATTCGCAAAATTTATTTGCATAAAATATTCGATACAAGTCAGCACAAATAAGGTCAAAAAAGCTTCTGCACGGCTATGGTATCCGGACGTTGCCATTGGTGTCTGACGAGTGAGAAACGACGACCAATGAATAAGAGGAATCAGGCAGCTGCTCGGCGGCGTTCGGTCATTCGTTGGTCGTGGTCTAGTTTACACTTCACGTCGCATTGCCTCGTCACGCCTTTGTGTATTTCTATGTACACAAAATTTCTATTTGTCGAAGTTGGGGCATAACAGTCAACGCAAGACAAACAAAACTGATGAAGCAAGGTAAAAATGTAAACGTAAAACAAAACAAAGGGCAGAATAACGTTACAAATGGCGCTTCAGTGGTACAACTGAACATCACAAACGATAAAAGGTCGAAATTGAAATCGAAATCCATAAAGTGTGGCGCCGGCCAACGGACACCGTCACGAAAATGACGACGAAGAAGAAGAAGAAGAAAACGACACCAGCAACAGCGGTAACGGAGGGTTGTCGGTAGACGTCGACGTGACATGGCTCGAAGTACAGAGCCGGACCGGACGTGTCAGCAGTACGTGTGTAAATCGAGTAATGCAACCGGACGATAAGTAGGGGTGGCGGTTTGTACATAACTTTGTACAGTGACTTTTTGGTACTGACGGTGCGGCGATTGGCGGGGGGACAGCAGTGTGATAATTGACGGTCGGCCGGTGACGGCGACGACGATGGTCATCTCTTCAGGTCCCAGCCGTTGTCCTTGATCATGTGAGCCAGCTCGATGATGTACTTGCCTTCCTTGTACTTTTGACTGGATTCAAACGCGTGTTCCTAGACAAGACAACGCATCGTCACTCGCACTGACCTCATACGTCCTACTGTCAAAAACAAAACACGCCTACATATTTCCATCCGAGCGTCGTCTTGCAACATGCGCAGTAGATGTCGGCCACGGCGTGCAAACCCGTCAACAGCACCCTTTCTTCCGCTGGCCCGCAGCCAACGTTCACCCTGCAAAACAACGCCCGTCTAAAAGCCGATCATAGCCCAACACACCAGGAAACGCTTCGTGACATAACCGCAAAATAACAAACAAAAACTAGTTCAAAATTAACAATGCAAAGAAACCTTATCGTCGTGGAAAACTTTTACTCGAAATATGTATACGAAGACGACTAGTGAGTCAAGTAGGTAGGTACAGTAATCAGTTTCCTGTTTCCTCTGTTTTGTACTTGCCCTTTGGACGCCCAGACCTGGCAGTTCAGATAACAACTTTGTTGTACATTTTTATATACTTACTTTGCTAGAATTTATCGTTTTTTCTTACAGTCTGTTGTGCTTTTCTTTGTCGTGAAATGTGTGATATTCTATCCCCTATTAAACAGCAGATGATTGGCAAGTCACATTATTCCCGCGAAGCTCTCCAAGTACTCAGTAGAGCCATAAGACTGTTAGGAAAATTTTCCTCAAAAAGTGTCAGAAACAAGAATCTTGCCCGAAGTTCGACATCGAAGAAAGCAGTCTATATGTTCGTATGCTCAATATGAAATAGTACCGCTATTTATTCGCTGCATGCGCCATTAACTATAATAAACGTGTGGTTTTGTATATACTGAGGAATGTTCAGCTCCTTAGTAACTCCATTCAAGCGGTAAACTTTCAACAGACAAGTTAAGTTTAGGTGGGACCAGCATTCGGCCGGAGTTTGCAGCGTTCGTCAGCCGAGGAACGACACTCGCCGATATCCCGTTACTTTAATAAGCAAACGTCAATTAATCTGCTGTTATATCGATATAAGTTGTGGTCTAGAAACTTGGTCTTGATTACCAGCTGTCAAGCAGCCGTCAGCTTCGAGGGCTACAAACAAAATCGCCCTTTGTTCTCCTACGTCGTACAGGAATGGCGTTGACTTTGCAAGTGTCTGATGGACGTTTTCGACATTTCGAGCTCACAGTCCCAATTCATAACATGGTCCGTGGTCTCAGTCAGGAACGCCTTTAAGAAGAAGACATTTTAAAAGATGCTCTACGTCATCACAAAGGGTGTTGTTTCCGCCAAGTCGAGGTGGTATGCAGTTGTAACGTGATGACGGGCCGGTCCGCTGTGAACTACTTGCGTCTAAGTTTAGCAACGCCCTGGTGGATGGCAACCACTTGCGTGCTGAATCGCTTGTGCACACCAACTCTGACCTGCAACGACAGTGGTGTCTGGCCAATGTATCACAGGTTGCAACTCCACGTGGTACACCACCCATTGCGTCTTCAAAGGCCACATGGTCTTCTACCGTTGTTAGTGATGGTCTTGGCTTTCACGTAGACTTGGAGACAATTCCGTTCACTGAGTTCATAATGTATCCGCCTAATGCATTCTCAGAGACTAGAGCCGGCTCGGAACTTCGTCTAAAATTAGTCATGTCGCCCCGATCACCTACCTGATTGAAAATTCTGAATCCGAAATTTCACTCAATTGAAGTGTTCCAGTGATGGCACTATTCAGCCAGAGTTAAATACCAGAGGACAACTTTAACGTCGAGTGCTTGTGGAAACCTGTCCAATACTTGGACTGAGGAATGAGTTACTCCTACGGAAATCCGCCTCTTCCTTTCCCCTGTCAGGTCAGTCACTGTCATGGAGAAAACCGTTCTAAACAAGAAACATGAATGACAGTTGCATCGTGTACAGAAGCGTTGACCTCGACGCATAATGAGCGCTAAACGGTTAAATGGCTACATGAAGATGAAGAAAACTTGAATGACCTTGTTAGAGAAATTGGCAGAACATAAAACCATTTGCTCCAGCACGTCAGCTTGTGCTCGTGTTGGAGGCGACACACAACTGTCGGAGTCACATGTCAATAAGGAGGCCAACATGCAACACTGAGGACAATAAAAATCAAAATCTACTTTTGGAGAGGAATATATCCTTCTGCTATAGACTAAATGGTGCCTTGCAGCAAAAGTACTGAAAAGTTGCGGATACGGCGGACAGAATAAACCAGAGACGTTCTGCCTACGAGATCAAGATTTAAGAAAGCAATCGCAATTCTAAGCACTGCCTTCAGTTCGTCATC